AGATGCCCCTCAGTAGATGAACAGATCAAGAAAATGTGACACACACACACACACACACACACACACACCACACACACACACACACACACAAGAATTCTATGCCTCCATAAGAAAGAATGACATCTGTCCATTTGTTAGGAAATGGAAAGACTTGGAAAAAAATGTATTAATTAAAGTAAGCCAGGTCTAAAGAAACATTGGTCCCATGGTTTCCCTTATTTGCAATAACTAGAATATGTCTAGGATAAGCAGAAAAGGTCTAAAGCTATGTACATATTACCATATAAGATGATGTTAAGTGAAATGAACCCCAAGATAGGGACACAAGTGTTTTTTTTCTTGCTATTGCTTTTAACATACTTATAATGTAGTATGTGATTTTTTTTTGTTTCTTTAGTATGTTTACCCCCATGGTATAACCCCTGCTTTCACTCTATTGGATTCTGGTGTCCTACATCTTGTATATACACTTTTCTAATTTGGGGAGGGGAAGGGAAAAAACAAAATGCTGAAATAGGGATACAGGTTGACCTATTGTAACAATGAGATGTACAAGACACTATGTTGAAAATGAACTTTACAACTTCAGTGCGGGGGCAGAAGGGGGGCGAGTAGTTGTGGAGGTAGGAAGGAAGGAATGATAGGGGAAAAACAAAGGAGGAGATGACAAAGTTCGATAGGAAATGTACTCATTACCTTACTCATGTAACTGTAACCCCTCTGTACAGTATTTTTACAATAAAAATGTATTAAAAAGCAAAAAGTAATCAGAGCTGGGAGGTCATAGGAAGGATGCCTTTGGAATGTCCATGTCTGTCTATGCGATAGAGGGTACTGAATAATTTTGGGCTGATACCAGCTGCATAATCCAGGAAACAAAGTTTATGGACCTCAGATTGTGTCTTTATTGAGATCTGTCCAAAGGCCTACACAGGTAACTGAGATGTCAGTTAAAATAAAGTTATAAATTTTAAGTTCCAGAGTAGACAGGGTCAGCACCCCTGAATCAGATTGAAGAATTTTCTTGGATCTTAGTCCCCTAAATATCAAGGGATCAGAGTCATTTTTGGAAGATGAGGCGGGATAAGGTTAAAGGAAGAGGCATGGAAAACAGTGGTAACAAGTGTGCAAGGGTGGAGACTGCATTTGTGAGCAATAGTTAAAGGTTCAAGCCTTCTATGTCTTGTATATCTGGTTGTCACCAGATATACAAGTTGCCACAGACCATTGCCTGAAACTGTCATGAAAATCAGTGGGGCCTCAGCCTGCCAAACCTACCAGTCTGTGTAGGTGTGACAGCAGTAGGTGTGACAATCCATTGAAGCCATTGGGAGACACTATCCCAGCCCAGCCCAGATCCAGCCCATCTCTTCCAACCTGGAGATTTCATGTGGAAAAAGGATGGCCTGTTACTATCTGCTGGACCTGCTGCATGAACTCTAAGCTTGTCTGATGGGGTGTGGGAGGGGGTGGTGTTTAGGATTTGGCCCAAAAAGAGGATGTAAAAATCAATGAAAACCAGTGGGCAACATGAGAACCAGAGGAGCAGGAAGCTTAGCCTGGCTGGAAGTCCCACCACATGCTGGTGCTGGAGCGGGCAGGGCATCAAAGGGTGGTTAGAGCAGTTGGAGTAGTTGGGCAGTGGGTGGCTTGGAGCCGGAGCACCCTCTCTATATTGGTTGTGGGTTGCAATGGGAAGGACAGAGAAAGAAGTTCACCCCCTTGGAGGTCACAGCTAATTTTAGTTCTGAGGTAGCCCAGGATAAGGCAGTCACAGTCCAGCTAATAAAACTCCTTTGTCCTAGGAATTAACTTAACCAAAGAAGTGAAGGACCTCTATGATGAAAACTTTAAAATCTTGAAAAAGGAAATCAACACAGAACTTAAAAAATGGCAAA